AAATGAATAATAAACAAACTTATGCATCAGATACACAATAAATAATTAATCTTAACACGTCTATTGATCATAATAACAATAATAATAGTATTGACACATCATCATATAATCTAATCAACAATAATAAATAACATCAAAAGTTACACAAAAATGATCTTTGTCACCCTTCTCACATGACTCAACCCAATAAAAAAGGAAATGTTTTTGCATCACTTTTAGCTTTTGCTATGCCAAATGATACTAGAATAGACAAATTGAATTTCTTATCCTTCCTTTTTTTCTATAAACCTGACTTTATTAATATAGACTGAAAATTCTATAACGGCAATACTAATATCTTTATAGAGTTTAACAATAGAAAATTACTCTTAAACGCTATAGATGATACTTTGTTGATTCATTCAGAACTTCCTTTCAATTTAATCAATAATGCTCCTTCTCCTAATCTTCATCACAACAATTCTACCTACAAATTCAAAGCAGTTCCTAGTAATATTACACAAAATCATATTAATAGAGCTCTTTCCTATTTTGAATCAATTTCTTCTATTATAGACTAATATAGAAATCGCTATTCCTTATCATGTGATATTATCATTACGTTCGATAAAATTAGAAAACTACATCAATTAAATATGGCTTAGACTTATAACATAAATGAACAAGTTATTAGATATGTATACATTATACTCTACTAGAAGAATTAAAAGATAGAAACCGTTATGTAGCTAGTTTCAAAGGTTTTATAAATAAAACAACACCCTCTGATCTGATGCCTTCTATACCTTAAGAGTCTTTAATGCTAGATCATATTATTTTCACAATAATATCATCTATGCTACCTTTGCATTTAAAAAAAATATGAACTCTGCCTATTTGCAAAGAATTATGCATAATAAATACAAATTAGATAAAAGACCCAGAGTTTTTAATCGTTCTTAAATTCATGCTGAATTAGTCCTTTCATCAAATACTATTTTCCTAGGTTTTCTATTAATAATTATCAAAGAAACAGACACTCCTCATTCAGTAGTAATTTAAAAAAGAAAAAGGCAAAGATGTTGATTATACAATTTCTACTACATCAAACATTAAAGATCATACTAAAAGTAGTCCTGATCCTTTTTATTTAATTTTATCAAAACTTCAGGAATTAGACTCAATTAAATCTTATTTGACAAAACTAGATTCTCAGATCCTTACTTTTACTAATTATGATGAGTTACAGCTCATCAATTATAATATATCTCATACCAAATGAATTATAGCTAAAGAGTATTCTTATTAATAACTGAAATATTTCGAATATTAATATGGATGTTAATTCTTTTTTAAACAATCAGGTTACCCACTTTTATAATAATAGATAAAATAATATTAATAAAATTGATAAAAATATTTCACACTTAGATAAAGATTCATATGATAATATAATTCAAGAAGATACAATTACTTTTTCCATACACAATATACAAGAAATAAATAATACCACGGATCTGACTAAATTTTCACAAATAATAGAACACTTTATGCATAACAAAATAGATTTTGTCAGTCTTACAAAAACTCATCATAATTCCTTGATGTTTTACAAATACAAACAGGATCAACACTATACAACTTTTTGGAGTCAACCTGACCTACTTTAACCTTTTATAGGTGTTACCCTTCTCATTTCAAAAAAATGAAACAAACACATCATTTTTTTATTATATCTGATCCAAGATTACTTTATATGAACTTATACTTAAAGGATATATAAAACTTAGAATAATTAGCTGTTATGTTCATGCTAATGTTATAGATCTTAAATATAGACATAATCAGAAACTCTTATAAAAACAAATCCTCAATCTGTTTGATGATTGTAATAAATAACAATACCACACAATTGTAATGGAAAACTTCAATATAGATATAGATAATTATTATGCATGTTTAAAACTTAATAAAAATCTTAGCTGGCGCTTTAACCTAATAGAAGGATTCTTACATAGAAATTATATAGATCTACAGCTATGCTGTAATGATGATATTCTCCTGACCTTTTTTCTACTATGTAGTATAATTAAAAACTACATATCTAAGAGATTAGATGATATTTTCTGTTCACTTAATTTTTTTGCTGACCTTCTTTACTGTGGTGTTTCAAAGCCTCTTATTTATCAGTCAGATCACAAGATAATTACTTCATATTTTACCAATCCTATTTTTAAACAAGAGGCTAAAGCAAGATGTAATAAGACAAAGAGGAGAAAATTCAACTTCGCTATAATGACTACACAATAATGAAAGCTCTTTGCAGAAGCTACAGATATACATTTTAAATAACATAATATGGATAAACTGCTTCTACTACCTATTTCTTAACATAATATGAATAATATATAGGAATACCTCAGAAATGCTATTATAACTGCTTCTACTAAATCTATTCTTTATAAATGGGTTTTCACAGATCAAAAAGCTCCTAAACTAAAAGAATTAGTAACTTATTATAATTACATAAAACTCATTAATAAAATAGTAATAAAATTCAGAGCTGCTAAAGTGAATTCAAGAACTTGGCCTTTAGAAGATGAATGGATTGCTGATCTCGAAGTTATAAAAAAAGTTATATCTTTTGCCAAATTATCATTAACTTCTTTACCAAACATACTCACTGAAACCAATATTAAAGCAGTTAGGAAACTTTATTGAAATTATATCATAACTTAAAAGCGCTATCTAGAGTTAAAGAAGCAAATATTTTACAACAAAAAATAAAATATTTAATTAATCAACGTTGCCTCCAATATGAATCAAATTCAAAAAAAATAATTCAGTCAGCACTAGGATATTTAAAAAAACTATTGTACTGGATCATCTTATCATTAAAGACATAAATGGAAAATATTTTCTAATTAATGATCTACACCTAATCAAACAACATGTTAATAAACATTTTTAAAACTATGCTGTTCCTAATTCACCTGCTACTTCTCTTTTTGGAAGATGGATTAATCAATATCAACTGAAAGATTATGTAGATGATAACTGGTTCAATAATCTCATACAACCTTCCACTATAGAAGAATTGTCTTCAGTTATTTCTCAACTTCTGAAAGATAAAACTGCTGGTCCTTCAGAAATTCATAATGAAATGATAAAACACTTAGGCTATAATACATATCATCTACTATAAAAATTAATTAAATATGTTTTAAGATGAATAATGTACCATCAGAATAGAAGATAGCTTATGTTATCCAATACCCAAACCTGTAGATTGGGATTGTGATATAACAAAACTCGTCCTATCACTTTATTAGATATTACAAGAAAAGTTTTTGTAAAAATTATTACTAATCATCTTTCTAAAATACTTGCTAAACACAATATATTAAAAGAAAACAATTACGCTGATCTTTCTGGTAGATTAACAGAAGATCTAATTAAAATAATGAATATAATATTAGAGGATACTGTTAAAAATAAAAAAGACTTATAGATCCTTTTACAAGACTTATCTAAGGCATATAATAGAGTGGATCTCATCATTCTCAAGCTTGTATTCAGAAGAATAAAAATCTCAAAAAACTGCATTTCTTGTATTATTAATCTTTTTACAAATAAAACAAATGCTATTTTCACCCAAGATGGCCTTTCTAATTATTACAATATCAAAATTGGTATTGATCAAGGAGAAATCATATCACCTCTACTATGGTGTATTTATTTTGATCTTCTGCTTTGCAAAATAGACAGTCTGAAAAAAGGTTATACTATAGAATATTCTTGGATTTCTAATATCAAAGATATGTTCTTATCCTTCTTAGCAGCACAGGTGTCTGTCTTAGATTATATAGATGATTCAAATTAGCTTACTTATTTAAAAAAAAGACTTAAAAGACATCCTAGAAGTTGCTGATGAATTCTATACTATTACTAAAGCTGCCATCAACAAATCAAAATTACAACTATTAACAAATACTATTACAACATAACAACCAATAATCATCAAATTTAGATCTAGCATAGTTGATATCAAACCAGAACTTGACTCCATTTGGTTTTTAAGAGTTTGAATTAATATATTCAACTCAAAAAACTCTGTTAAAAGACAGACCAGAGACACCATTACCAAATTCACTACTAATAGTTTCCAATAAAAATTCATTAACTATTATAGATTTACTTTGAACTTTCTTTCTAAGTGATGATTTACTTAATGAAGCCTAAACAATCAGATAATTATTATTAGTATAAAAAAGGCATTCATTATGTGTTACTAAAATATGTAACTGTTTTTCATTTTTAAATTCTGGAAGAATCATTTGCACTTTATCACTGATAAATGTTAGCATTAGTTTTTCAAATTTTGCTATAGTTTTTAAAAATTGTTTCCAATATTGTAAAACATTTTCACATTCATATCCATTAAAATATACACCTTTTTTTCAAGATTGAGGAGCCAAACCCAACTTACAAAGCCATATTCTTGCTGTTTTTATTGATATTGACCTTATAATATCCATTTGAGAAAAAAGTTTTGATATTATAAATTCTCTATACTATTGTGATATTATTCTTCTGCTATTAGAATGAATATATGTTAAATTACAATTAATAATATTTTCATCATCAATAAATGATTTTATTTTTGATGATAATCTTATAATGAAATAGGTAATGCATTATATTTAATCCAATAATCACCTAATTTACAAATTACTCTAGATCTATAAATTCTTTTATTATAAATTTTCTCTAATGCTTTCTCACTTGCTTTTATCTGTGTTAATCTATCTTTTTTTCAATATATAAAATATGCATATATAGACTGGTATCTTAGGTAATCATATATATTTTACTTTTTATTATTATTCAAAATAATTTGTTCTAATTTATAATTTTTGATTAAAATCACAATTATTATTATTTTGAATATCATTATCTACACTTTCTTCTAATTCTTGATGTGATATTTTCATCAAATTCAAACTATTTATTTCAACATCTTAATCATCTAAAAAACCTATTTCTGAATTATCTTTAGCTAATAAATCATCATTTTTTATACCTGTCAATGAATCATCATCTCTTACATTAGCAAATATATTATCATCCTTTGTATTAACTAATGCATTATTACTCTTTATATTGACCAATGCATTATTATTGTCTTTTGCATTGATTAATGCATTATTATCATCCTTTATATTGACCAATGCATTGTTATTATCTTTTGTATCAGTGGATATATCATTATTAATATCATCTAATATATTATTAAATTGTTTAATTTAAATCAATATTTATAAATTAATTTTAATAACGATTTGAGTATTCAATAAAAAAAATATATATTTACCTATTAAATCTACAACAAGTTCATTTTTAGCTAAGTCTTTTATTGATTTAAAAAAAATTAAAAAAAGAACTTGTTTTCTTTACTGCTACAGAAAAACTTCACTGTGATCCATATTTTCAATAATATGTTACAATCAAATTGTCAATATATAATGCTTTTTTTTTGTTCAATTATTGTAGTATCAGTTTATACTAATTTAAATTCAGATAGGCATTGCATTTTTTTGATTTAAAAATTCTTTAGAACCAGAATTACTATCTTTTGAATAAAAATTATCTGAGCTGCTTAATTCAAAAATAAAATCATTATTGTTATCATCCTTATATCATTTATTTGATTTAAATTTATCTATTTTATCATATTTTTATTTCACAACTCATTTTTTGGCTAATCTTGATACATATGATAATAGTATAATAAATGAAGATAAACTTTTTCAAAATTTATTAAAATTTATTTGAAAATGTGTAAATTTAACAAAAAAAAAAAATATCAGTAAGTATTAAATTTACATTATACTGAGAAGAATAACTGGAATTCTAAAAACAAAGTTATATTCTGAGTTCATCATATTAATTTCAATTGAAATTTATTTTTTTTTAGAATATTACACAAATTGGCATATTCTCAATTTCAGCGCTTATAATTAAATTAGTGTAACTTCATTATGCAAAAACTTTGTTTATTATGCATAAATTTAAAATCTAACTGTAAAAATGATTAGATTTTGATTCAAACTTTCTAATTTATCAGTTAAAATTTTTATATTTTTATTATTGATAGAGTTATACATGTTTGAAGGTTGAAAATTCTTATTATAAGGATGTTCCTATTATAGAGGTTTTGCATTATAGTATGAGAGAACACTATAATAATTAAATAATATCTCTAGAATCTTGTTAAAATTGTATTGAGAATTCACATTGTTTTTATAATTTTGACCAATTTTTTATTAAATTTGTATTAAATTGTAATGAATAATTTTATAATGATTTTTATTTATCAATAAAGTGATGATTTGTTATTATAGAACTACTCTAATTGTTTGATATATTATATTTAATAAATTTGCATAAGTTATTTTTAGATTAATCTAATTTTTATAAATAATATGATACTTAAATTATTATTTTAACTTTTTATTTTTAATATAAATCAGAATTTTGATCACGAAGAATTCTTATTGTATTATTTTAATTATAAATTTTGCTTATTAGGAGTAATTTAATATTTATAAATAATATGATGCATAATTATAATATAGTGCTTAAATTATTATTTTGATTTTTTTTAATATATATCAGAATTTTGATCATAAAGAGTTCTTATTATATTATTTCAATCATGAGTATAGAATTTTATAAATATCAAATAAAGATGGTGTTGCAATTAGTTGCAACTATGTGATGCTTATTTGTCATCAGTTACAACTAGTTGCAACTTAATTTTTATTAATATTATAACTAATTGCAACCCTGTGATGCTTATTTGTCACCAGTTGTAACCAGTTGCAGTATCATCTTTAATATCAAATCAAATAGATAAATTTACTTATAAAGAAAAGTATTTTTACTATAACATAATTTTTTATCTTTTAAATCTTAAATTATTAATTTTTACCTTTAAATCATTTAATTTTACATCTTTAAATTAAATACAAAATAATTATAAAAATAATTAAAAGAATAATGAAATAGATTTATTAATAAAAGAAAAGGAGAAGAAATTATAAGTATTATATCAGATACAAAGATAATAAAATAAGATTTTAGCAGAGTATATTTTAACAAATAAATTACAGATATAATATAATATATTCTACTCATTAATATAAGCAGAAGTAGAGAAATTTTAGTATGCAATTATAATATAAGTATATAAGTAAATAAATAGATAATAATATAATGATAAATATAACTTAATAATATAATTAATATCTTTTAAGACTTTATGATTATTGAAATGAAGTGAAAAAAAGGTGAAAGATAGTCTTATATAATAAAAAGATTATATAATATCTTTAAAACTTGATTTTATAATTAATTAAAAACATTTAATTGATTTTAAATTTATATTAAAAATATTTACTTTTTTAGAATCGAGGTATACTTGAAGTAAAAATTGTAATTTACTTATTATAAGGCAAATCTGTAATATAAAATAAAATCATAACATATTTGTAAAATAATAATTATAAAATATTTTTTAGTTTATTTTTAATTTTTTAAAAATTTTGTTTATTTATTTCATTTTGTTTATTTAATTTTATTTTTTTATTTTGTCTCATTTTCTTAATTTTATTTATAATTTCATTTTATTTTTTTAATTTTATTTTTATAGTTTTATTTCATTTTCTTAATTTTATTTTATAATTTCATTAATTTTTTTAATTTTATTTTTTATTTTATTTAGTTTTCTCAATTTTATTTTTTGCCTCATTTCATTTTCTTTTCATTTTATTTTTATTTTTTAATTTATTTTTTAATTTTCTTAAAAAAAATGATAAATTAATAAAACTATTATATAATAATTAACAAATTGTATATTAAATAAAATGACTAGAATTTACAAAATAACATGAAATTATTTCTAGAAAAATTATATTATAGTAAAATTATATTTATGTAATAAAATTAGTAATTATTTATTATACCAAATAATTCATTATAATATTATATAATGAAGGCCTAATCAATTCAAATACTAAATTCATTATATCAAGTTTTAATTGTATTTACTTTCTTAAAATGATGACAACTAGAAGCTTTAAATAAAAGAAGTGAAGAAGAAAGAAAATTGTATCTTGAAATATTAATGTTAATAAGTATATTATTATTATTTAATTATATTCATATTTTATTAAATATTATTTTTACTAATTATAAAAATAATATTTTTGTTTTTTTGTATAAAAAGGATAATCTTTATAGTATTAAAAATTATTTCTTTTGTAATATTTGATCTATAATAACTAGTTTTTACTTTATATATGTTATAAATAAAAGTTTGTATAAAATTTTTAATAAAGCTTTTATTTAAAAATGTTTTCTAAGTAGTTCACTTTAAAGAAAAAATTTTTAGATATTTTTTATTTAGTTTTCAAATAAGTTAAAAAACTTTTGGTATTTTGTATAAAAAAAACTTTACAATAATAAAGGCTTTTAGAAGTAATATAGGTCTTGAGTTTTAAAAGTTAAAAATGTCTTGAGTAAAAAGGTTTTTAAATATATTGAGTGTTATATTATAGAAATATTATAAAATAAAATAAAAAATTTTTTGAAAAATTATATATTAAATTTTTCATAAGAATTCAAATGGAAGTTTAAGAAAAAATAAATAATATTTACATTATCTTAAACAGATTAATATTAATAAAATTATTAAATTTTTTGAAATTTTTAATTAAAAATTCAAGTTGAATTAAGTCATATCAACTATTTGATCTATTTCAAATTTTTTGAGTTAATACTTAATCTGTCAAATCAGATTCAAAACTCTAATTGTAATTTGTTTTATATAGTCTATTAGAATTTTTCTAGTAGTTATTAAGAAGTTATTCAGATAACTATCTATAATATTTGTTAATTTTGTGATTGTTATTATATTATTATTAAAATTATATTGATTTGAAGAATATTCCTATTTTGAAATATTTTTTTGTGATGAAATGATTTTGATTTTACATCACAATTTTTTAACTTATTTTTCAGATTTTACTAACTACTTTTATAAGCTTAAGATATATTTTTTCTTATCTTATACATTTTTTTTAGTTTAATATGACTAATTTTTTAGGTTAGAGATTTTGGATTTCAGTTCTAATATATTTTCTTTTGAAACATTTTTAAATTATTCTATTTTCCTATTAAGATTTTGTATTTCTGCTTCATATCAAACATATTTACGCTAATCCTTATTAGAATTATTAAACTTATTTTATTAATTTCTTAAACCTAAGAAAACTGTTAGACTTATTTATAGAGTAATAAGAACTGTTAGATTTATTTTTGTTAAACTTATTTAATAAATATATTAATAAATAAATTTATACAGCAACAGTTTTAATATATATCTTAAATCTAATGAATAAAATCATTAGACTTAAAAAAGATATACAATATAAATTGAAACTTTAAAGACCTCTATATACAATATGAGGATATTTTATTCCAAAATTTCTAAACTCATATGATATAAAATAATAATCAAATTTCTTATTTTAATAAAATTCAAATTCAACTTTTTATTAAACTTTAATTTTAATATTTTAATATTTTTTATTATGCATTAAATGAAATAAATTTAATTAAATTATCTATATAAATAATAATTATTCAATAAAAAATAAAGATTTATTAAATATCAATGTATGCTAAGTTTAATAGCTATAAAGTAATCCTTAATTTTTGATTTACAAAATATATTTATTCATTTATTGATGAATTTATTTAATAGAAAATTAATTTCATTTTTTTATTTTAATAAGTTTTAACTTTTCTTGAACTTCTTCAATCAATTGTTTATTTTTATTAATAAGTTCCATCCTAATTTTATATAACAAAAGAAAAAGGAATTTTTAGGTATAAGAATATTTATATTTTTGTAAATAATTTGATAACTTACTCTTTATCCAATGCATTTTCAACTTTGCTTAATTGATTTCCACTGAGAACTATAGGTTGTCCCATTTGATCTTTTTCTGGTTCGGGTTGTAAGAGTTTATAATCACTTTGCAAAAGCTTGTGACGATTTTGAAGCTATAAAATGAAATTAAAAAAACATATAATTAATCTTTGTGAATATAAATAATTTCAATAAAGTGAAAATGATTAAAGAAATAGAACCATCATTATTTTGTTCTTTAGACCATTTTCGCCCTTAATTTCTTTTGCTATTTTTTCCAAAGAATCATAGTATTGTTTCTCAAATTCACTTAAAGTCAGATCTCCTTTATTCATTATCCTTTGAATAAATCTATCAGCTTTACTATCAAGATACTTTTGTTTATTTCTCAAAGTATTCAACCGCTCATTCAATTGTGGTACTTTATCTTCAGAATAACTTTCGATAATTCTACGTAAATTGGCTATTTCAGCAACTTGGCGGTGAAATTCTTTAGTTTGAAAAATAAACCTGTTATATAGTTTAAATAAATTTCGTCGATTAATCTAAAATTGATGAAATTTAAATGATAAAAAAAATTTTATTTTTTTTATTTTTGATTTTTTTTTACCTCTTTTGAAGAGCCATCGCAGCTTCCTTAAGTTCATAAACATCTTTTTGAATATTTCCCATTACAGTATGAAGAAATTCTATGTCAATTTCATAAGACGATTTTCCTTGATTATTTTGTTGACTATGTGATGATACCATTATTGGTTGACGTGAGAGACCTTGATTATTTAAAAATTTAGTCAAAATATCTGGCATTGGATTAACCTTTGGTAAGTCAGAAGTCATCATAGGACTTAATTCCTCGTTAAAAAGAATATTATTGGAGGATTTACGAGCCGATAATTCATGGTAAACGAAACCGTATGTAGATGAAAGCATAAATGCAGCATGACACAATTGTATGTCTTCCATTATTGTGAGTCCAATTAAAGGATCCGGATCACTATAAATAAATATATAAAGTTTATTATCTGATTTTAAAAATAAATAAGCAATCATTTGAAAGTTTTACCTTGGAAGAGTACAAACAATCCAATTAATCTGAGATTTAAGGTTTTTTGAAAAAAATGATTCATAGATAAGTTCTGCAGAAGAACCCTTATTCTTTGGATCGTTTACAACTTTTCGCAGTTCTTCCAGCCATTCTTTAACATTAATTCCATGTGCACCCGCCAGATGATATACATAAAATGTGTCTCGATAATAAGGATCGGGTACGAGACATGGATGATTTATTGACGTTGTGAGTTGTGGTATACAACCCGAAGTTGGTATAACATAATGTTTGATGTAGCCAAGATCGATACATTCATAAAGTATTATATTATGAGCCGTGAATTCTCCAGGTACCTGTTAGTAAATAATAATAAATCAAAAGATTTTTTTTATCAACCATAATTCAGATTCAAAGCTCACTAACTTACGATATCTGGAATTTGCCACTTAGCTTCAACCTTTTCGACCTCAAGACAAATGTCTATTCGACCATTATTGAAAGCTACTACCAAAACGATAAGAGGCTCCGTTTCTAACATCAATATATCACTGGCTTCATATGTATGTTCAGATATACTCAACGGGTCTGGATGAATATTGAATGGCCCTTGAACTTCAACTCGTAAATGGTCAAATGGTGGTGGACTAAAAACAACTCTTTTAGAGTGGCCTTCTAAATTCATCAATCTTTTAATCCATTTAAATTGCAAACGATATTGTTCTAAAATATCTAAATAGTCACGTCCATCAGTCCTTTCAACCATCTCCAGACCATATTCATGTTTACGTTTAATGTAACTTGAGAGCATCTCGAGGAATGATCTTTCACAAACACTAATAATAAAAAAAAAAAATACAATATATAAATAAGCCAAAATTTCGAATAATTTTTAACAATAAAGCGAGTGATTAAATCTCTTCTTACTCCTACCATCTACTTGGTACGATCGGACACATAGCATAAATCTCTCCCAAATTTGTTAAGATATATATCACAAAATTACCCCAAGCTTCAGAAGACTGGCCAAAACAGAATGACACGGCTCTCTGATTTTTTGGGGGGGTTTCGGATTTAGTACAAATAAAGGTATGCTCAGGTTCATTGACATCATCGATTACATTATACATTCTAAATTCAGGAACTTAAATTAATCGACGAGAATAGTTAAAAATGATTATTTCATAACTTTCAAAATGTCTAAAACCTTAAGCGCATATCTTCCGTAAGAACCATTAAGTGTGAACCTGACTCGCTCATGGGATGCCATAATACCTTTGCGATAGGGCTTTGTCCTAGAATATGATAATATGGCCCGATATTGTAGGCTCTGTTGGGTCGTCATAAATTGATGACAATGAGTTCAAATTAAAAAAAAATTCAACAAAGTCGTTTTGAATAAAATGTAAAATAATTGATATCATCTTAACTTGCAAGTGATTTTGTCATTGCTTGTATCTGAAAATACAGTTTTCGGTATGACTAACACGGAAACTTCATAATCACCAATCACTGAAAGTAACGTTCCTTTTTCCTTAAAGTTGACAATAAGCGAACGGATGGTGTATTTTATTGAGGGGGTGTCAAGTGTGATGTATTTGACCTTGGCCATCCATTCTGGCAAATACTCATCAAATTCAAGTGTGTTCAATTGATCAAGATCATATGCTTTACGCCATGCAAGTTTGAATTCCATTAAATTTAAGATTCTGATCTCTGAATCTATAGCAACGATTAGAAGTTTGCTTCCTGTAGCTGTTATACATGATGGTTTTGTTCTCGGCTGTCCGTAAAATTTCAACCCTTGAACTTGAATATATATAAATTATAATTCATTCTCCAATTATTTCACGAAAACATATAAAAATATTTTAGAATAAAAATTAAATAAGTAGCTTACAATCATCTTGGGTTTTTCCTAATTTTTCAGAATTAAATATTGGATGATAAGGAAGAAATTCCAACCAATTTGTTGTAATTCTTGAATCTTCGAAGTCACCGTTCATAGTTTATAGGTTTATTAAGTATTTCTTCAAATTACAATAAACCAAGTTGATTATTATTCGATAATTCAGACAATCTATGTATTTACACCAACAAAAAAATTATAAGCAGTAAAAGTAGGAACGTTTATTGAATAATGATCAACGAAAAAAAAAAAAAAAATAAAATAAAATAAAACTAATAAATTTGAATTCAAAGATACGCTCTATTAAAAATTTTTTGTAATATTATAAAAACCAAAAGTTAGAGGGAATAGTACTCCGAGAAACAATAAAAAAGTCTTTGCAAGAGAACAGAAAACGCGAGCTCTTCACGTTTTCCAAATTTGGCCGTTAAGATTTACTGCGGCCAATGCACCCACGTTCAAATATAAAAGTAAATATCCTACTTTTTTTTTTTAAGATCAAATTTGTAATAAAAAAAAAATGACTTTAATTTCACAGGCAAAAAGCCTCTTTCCACCCTTAATTCTTTATCGTAAAATTTTACGTTCTCATCGGTCGTTACCACCATCATTACGATCAATTGGTGATAATTATGTTAAAGCTGAATTCAGACGTCATAAGGACATTACAAACCCTATTCACATTGTGGGATTTCTTGATCAATGGCAAGCTTATTTGGATGTATTAGAAACTCAAATAAATTCCGCCAAATCAGAAAATATTACAACGTATGGGAAGAAAATTGATTCGGATAAATTAGAAAGATTTAATGATCAACAACTTGGTCAATTATATGAGTTGCGAAAAGAAGCTAAAGCTCATTTGTAAAGTAAATTTGGATAATAATATTACGGGTGTCGAAATTTTAGTTACTGACGAAAAAAAAACAATAAAACCGAATTACATACGTAATATGCGACTTATTTGTCTTTAAATTCATTCATTTTATTTTATTTTATTTTATTTTTTGGAACCAACTTCATTTTGAAATACTTTTTAGAATTGGAGTGAATACGAATTGCTGCATCTTTTATAATTTCGTTCTTTACGTAATTTAAAAGTGTATTGAATCAAAATGACAATTTAGATTTAGTTTTCAGAAATTTAATGACATGAAAGAATTTAAATTTAATATTGCTCGAAAATAGTAAATAATAAAAAAAAAATTAAAATAAAGATGCTGTCGCAAGATAATATGTAGTGTTCATTTCTATGCAAACCAGAATTGACAGCATTACAAATGATTTAAACGTCATGACTTTTTTATGTTAAATCCATGGATAAATTTAGAAATTGGTACCGGGGGTCTTTAAACTATTTGAGTCGATTTTATTTATTCTGAGGCAAGTAACAATAAAAACCAAACGTTTTGTTATTTATTCTTTCAAATAAAATTAAAACTAGTCAAATTTTCACGATAGGTAAAAGAAAGCAAATTTCTAACGATAAAATTGTAAGCGACAATATGTCTCAAATGGCAGAAGGTGAAGGTAAGTTAAAAAATACATTCTATACCGTTTAAGATTTAAGTTTTACCCTCTAATTTTACTTTTCTGAAGTAACTTTTCTACGGGTATTAACATATTCTCACGACCGATGTATAATAATATTATTATAAATTCTTTGTGTTTAAATGTTAATTATTCAAGGAGATGATTACTTTGATCCTATGGCAATGGACGAATACGAAGATGGTCAGTTAGATGGAACAGCTGGACCTTCATATCATCCGTCAAATTATATGAGAGAAGGTAGTAGTCACCATGGTCATCATGGAGGTTTCGATGAAGGTTTCTTCCCAAGTCCTACGCATCCACAACACCATAAAGGTAGCACTCATCATCGACAAAATCAACAGGGTGATAAAACGGTGGATTCGGATTTTTTTAATGGTAATAAGTAAACTTTGACCTTATTTATTTATTTTTTTTTTGTTTTATTTTCATTTTCAATTTATTTACAAATTCTTTGAATAGATTTTCATGATGATTTCGATGACGAAGATTTGAAATAAAAAAATAAAATGATTGGAACAATGAATTAAACTTCACTCAAAAACATTATATTTCTTTTACACGTTTTTATATTCAAGATATGATAAGGTTCATTATTACAGTAATCATAATCGTGTTAATTTTTTTTTTTTTTTTAGCTAGCAATAAAAGAGTACACTCTTATTACATATTATTACTTAACGCAAAGTTGGATTTGATGTTTGATGTAATTATTACTTATCCTCTTCATTACTTCCTTCATCATCATCATCATCATTTCCTTCATCATTATCATTTCCCTCATTATCATCATCATTCTCTCCTTCATAATCATCTTCGTCTTTATTCAATGATTCTTTAGAGACATCAAGCAATCTTAATGCTTCGCTAACATCCTGTCTCATGACTTCGTCTCTCAGATGAACACGAGCCAATGCTTGAGATAAACGAATTACTGCCAAAAGAGAACGTGCACTAGTATAAGTGTGTGCTTTTTTGTTAGCCATTGCATCTGCCTGTTCTTGACGCATCTGAACATAAGAAGAAACCATATATGATGAAACATCAGGTGGAACGACCGGACGTTTTGAACGTGCTTCGGCAACATAATGTCTAAATGAATAAAAGCATTATTAATAAATTTATCAAAATTTAAAAGAGGGTTATACATTTATTTACCTAATCATTTGAACATCCAAAAGATCACTTTCCATTTCTGGATGTTTACCATGCTGATGCACATGTGCGACATGCTCCGCTAATTTGGTATCATCTTCGACATTGTGCTTATCCAGAATCAAAAATAGAATATCAAACCTAGACAGAAGAGCAGCGGGTAGATTGATGTTTTGTGTTGGGGATTTCTTTATATTATATCGTCCGTATAGAGGATTCGCGGCAGCTAATATGGATGTACGTGCATTCAACGTGGTTGTAATACCTGCTTTACTGATGCTTATAGTTTGTTGTTCCATAACTTCATGAATGGCTGTTCGATCGCCATCTTCCATTTTATCGAATTCGTCGATACAACAAATACCATTGTCAGCAAGTACTAGAGCACCACCCTCTGAATATAACATAAAGATTGATGGTCATTTGACGCGTAAATTATCAAAAAAAAAAAAAATAATATATATATATATATATATAATTCATGATAATTCGAATTTACCTAAAATCATTTCGTCGGTTACGGGATCACGAGTCACAGATGCTGTCAAACCAACTCCAGAACTACCACGTCCAGTAGTATAAACTCCACGTGGTGCTACTTTTGATATGTACTTGAGCAACTGAGACTTGGCTACACCAGGATCTCCCATAAGACATATATTCAAGTCTCCTCTAATTTTCATCCCGTCACCCATGGATTTTGACACACCTCCGACCAACAGTAACAACAAAGCCTTTTTTACATCTTCGTGACCATATATTTCCGGTGCAATACTTCTTGACAACTTTTCATAGATATCTCGGTCTTGAGCAAGCTCTCGTATCTTTTCTGAGATTTCAGGAGTTGTTATCATTTTATTGTATTGCTTTTTCAGCTGGCTTATATATTGACCTTCTAAATAAACATCAGTTAACAGACTAGTTGTACCCCGATAACCATGATGTGGTGTCGCTTGAAATATTCCAGAAACACTAACTATGTCGCCAGGATTCATCGAACGCGTCAAACTTCCATGCAAAAATATTGTCATGGATCGAGGAATATGACCCACTGGAACTTGTTCAGTCTAAAGAATTAAAATTAAAATGAATAATAATAATAATTAATTTTAATAATAATCATCAATCATTTCATTAAAATTATAAAAATTGTACGTACTAATTCTTGCATTTTAACTTCTTGAAATGGGATAAATTTGCATGTACGAGTTTGCATATATAATTTCCCTTTCACATTATTTTTCTGACATTTCTCGGAAGGACATATCACAAGTGGCGTAATATTCTTTTTGGTGACTTCTTGAAACACTTCATCGCCACACATTTCACACGAATATCCCGCAACTAATAAGAAAGGTTTAACATCGCTGACCCGTGTGATAATTCCTTTGACTGTTACCAAATGACCTACGTTAGAACCATTAACTTCGCGAATAGCTAGTGTTTTTTCAGATTTTAATGGTTTCAAATACAGTGAACTTTAATAATAAATAAATAAACAAATTATTAGTATTATTATAATTATTATTATACGGGCGCTATAATGTATTTCGAATTGAAAACTCACTATCTTCTCGTTAAAGCAGCTGGAAAACGTGTTCTATCTTCGGGTGCTCTATTTTGATCTTTATCCTTTCTATGTTGCATGATAACATCCAAAACATCATCCATGTGACCAATGGGATTTATGGGTATAGGCATTAATTTATCACAAATTCGATAAATTAATTCAATATAATGCCAAGTGTTTGTCATGATTTTGCGAACCAAACCATTTGTAACATTTCCATCATCTTCAAACTAAAGTTATCAAATATCAACAAATATTAGATTAAAAAAATAAAAATAAAAATAAAAAATAAATAACCAAAAATTATTTTAATTACGGCTTGAATATCGTCCAGCTCAAAAATAATTTTATCATCCTCTCGGTTTGCTACTGCCCTCTAAATTGAAAAAATTTCGATATATTTAGCTATTATATTAGAATCATATCCTTCAATTCATTTAAGATAACTCACAAGCTTTTTAATATATCTTGAAGGATGTACAGTTTCCACGTCAACGTCCATATTTTCCACTTCTAATTCCATATCCTGTTGTGCATCTTGATATTTCTCAAAAAAAAAGTTCACCTCCTCTTTTGAAATCGATAAAGCATTTATCGAAGATTTTAATATTATATTCATCATACGAATACCAAATTTTTTATAGCGCGTTTACTTACCACTATCTTTAGCATAGTTTGTTTTGGGTTTAATAACTTCCATTTCTATTTCGTGTTTCTATGGGGAATTATAAGCTAAGCCGAACAAACTTTTGAAATGGGGGTAAAATTAAAGACGCGTTAATTGAAAATTGAAATGGGTTTCAATATGGACCTATCAGAATTTAGGAAGGTGACTATTTTGGACTTGTAACTCGTGGTTGCAATTTGGGTGATACAACATTCAATTGTTGACTTGAATCATTCAGTTTCACGTTCTTACTTTCTGCTTTCTTTACGAAAAGATGTCTACTATTAATTGGCGACCTACTTTGTTATTTATTATTTTTATTTATTTTCTTTTTATTTTGGGAAAACGTTTTACTTCTCAGAAAGAACAATTTATTATTGAAAAAGACAAAGTTCTGGTGGAATTATTTGTAATGAGTCGCTGCCCAGACGCTGTTGAATGCGAAGCAATTATGGCAGAAGTTGGTGTGTAACACAACAATTAGATAATTTAATTAGCTTTTTTTTTGTTTTTTTTTTTACATAAGAGATTTGTATGTTAACCGAAATTAAATAGCAAAAGAAGTAAACGATATTTCAACTTTTAAAACCAATTATATTGCAACATTAAATTCCTCTGCTATATACGGAGCTACTTGCAAACATGGAGATCTAGAATGCAAGGGTATTGATCAAATCTATTTCAATTCTAAAATTTATTTATTATTAAAATCTCTATTGATTTAATTTCTTTTCTAGGAAACATTCAAGAACTTTGCTTCCACAAAGCTATTCCGAATGATTTGATCTTTTTCAATTATCTTTTATGTACTCATCGTTCACTTAACCTTATTGGTTCACATAAATGGGCTAAACAATGCTCAGAAGAAGTTGGACAGGATTATGGTCCAATTGACGAATGTGTAAATTCTGATATTGGTTTGAATTTATTTATTGAAAGCGTTAAAAGAGCAAAGGATTATCAAGCAAATAAAAGTTGCACGATTTTTATTAATGGAAAAAAGAGATGTATTAAAGATGGAAGTTGGTATGATTGTCCTAAAGGGCATTCTGTTAAAGATTTTATAAATTCTATCAAAAATGCTTATGATCAAGATTCAAAATATCATTAATATAAAATTAATTTAAATTAAAATAAATAAATTAAAAACATTTTTATTATTATTATAATTTATATATAGAATCTGTAAACTATACAAATTAAAAAATTAAATAGTATTATTAATTTACTAAAAAAAAATAAAATAAAATAAATTTATGTTATTATAATAATTTAATAATTACAATATCTAATATAAGTTTTTTTCTTAAATTATTTAACTTTAAATTTTTTTATAAAATTTATATTTTATTAAAAATTATATTTAAAAAATAAAATAATTTTTTATTCTTAATATATAAGCATATTTTTTACTTAAATCTAAATATTATTTTAATAAATAATAAATATTTTATATAAAAGAAGATTATTAAAAAATCAGATTCTAATTATTAATAAAATTTCAATTTTTAGTTTTTTAATAAAGAATATCTTAATAGATTTCTACCTGCACTTGTGATTATATAACTATATGATATTAATTTATATATATTAAACTTTTTTTGATTATTTAATTTTCCTTATTATTGATTCTACAATTTATTCTAAAATTTTACTTTTATTAAAATGAAATCTAAAAATAACAATAAAAAGTTATTTTTAATTAAAGGTTTAGCTTTTGAATTCTAAATACAATGCAAAACTTAATTTGATTCTTATAAATTACAAGAAGGTTTTAGCTATAAACTTGCTGAAGTGAATTAGAAGAAGGTGTTTTAAGAAGAATTATATATAAAGTTACTTGTCTAAACTCATTTTAAATTTAGCAAAATATCTAAATTATATTTTTGCTAATTTTTTACTAAGATTTTGATATAGTTTCACATTTTTATAAGCTTTGATATAGTTTTACCTTTTCTAGAATTTCACAGATTTTTTAATATTATTAAATTTTACCTTTTTTCATTTAGACGACTTGTAAAACCTTTAAGTTATATCCAATAACCTTAGTTACATATGAATGTATAAAATCAGACAAATATAAACCTCAAATTAACAGTAAACCTATAAATATATATTCTCAAAAAATAAATTATCTTATTTCTCAATAATAGAATATTTTTAAATTTTTGATTAAAGATATATTATTTTTTAAATTTACATATGGGTCATAGACTAGCAAAATGTATTTCTGAGAAAATCTTACTTTTTTGAGAAAATTATAAATCAACATAAAATTACCTTATTTTTTAACTCCTGAATTTTAGTTTATTTTCAGCATAAAATGTAGTATATCAATCAATTTCAAAATTGTTTGTTTGTCAGACACAATAAACTTTTGTCTTACCATGTCTAACTTTAATAATGATAATGATAAAGAAAATTTTTTTCTTTCTGTTGAATATACTTCTTTAGAATAATATAAAGATAAAGAACTTATGCATATAGTTATTAATAACTTATAACAATTTTTTTCTTTTACTATTTGTATTTGTCATAACAAAAAAGAAAAATATTTTAAAAAAGTTGGGTTTAAAGCTTTTCTCAAAAGACATTTGGAATTTTAAAGTTTAGAAAAAGCACAGTTAGATTTTATTTTAATAGATCAATTATTAGTTTTTTCTAATAATAAAAAAATAATTAATGATCACAAAATAAAAAATTTTTTGATTATCATTTTAATTCTGAAATTTCTTTATGTAAAAACACTTATCTTAAACTTGTTGAAATTTCAGATAGCATTTTAAGAGCAGTTAGAAATTATTTATTAACTGAAGGATTAACAAGACATCAACATAGAAATACAAAAATCTTTCTAAAGTAGTATCACGAATTACAATCGATCAAAAATTATCAACTGAAATTTATAATTTTATTATTAATTATGCAAATTTTCATGAATTTCTCTTACCAGGTCATTATATACAAACTGATTTTTTAGCAATTATTTTATTACCTACTGAAAAAAAGCTATGCTAGTATATATGAAGATTTTATTGCAGTTAGTAAAGAATTAGATAATGGCATTTCAATTATATCATATAAAAGCTTTGTTCGACTTTAGAAAAATCTCAAATTATATATTAAATTTATAATATCTGATATAAATTTATATGATAAATGTGAAATATTAAAAAAAATATTCAATATACAAAAAATATTGATGAAAAAAATGAAGTAGCATTGGATTTGAAAAATCATTAAGATAAAGCAAAAAAGGAGTATCAATATTATAATAATAATATTATAACTAGTAATACATCTAAAAAAATAGCTCAAATTTGTTATGATTAGGCACAGAATGTTTCTATTCCTTTTTCATCACAGCAAGTTGGATAAATTTACTTCAAAATAGCATTTGCAGTACATATTTTTAGAGTATGTAATATAAAAGAAAAGTAACAACTAAATTATTTAATTAGTAAAGATGAATTTCTAAATAGTTCTATAAAAAAAGAAGCTAATACAACTATTAGTCTTATATTTAATGCTTTAAACAAACTTTATCAAAGAGAACAGCATTTAAAAGTCATTTGTAATAATGTACAGCTCAAAATAAAAACAATCTCTTTTTATTTTTTTAGTTTTAGTTAATAATAATAAGAATATATGAAACTATTAAAGTTAGTTTTATGGTTCTGAAATATACAAAATTTTTACCAGATGAATATTTTGGTAATATTAAAGCTCTTTTTTGAAAAACACAAGTTAATACAGTAAATAATATTAAAAAGGTAGTAAAAAAGTCCATTAAAAATAATTTTAAATATGTTATTTACTATAATAATAGAAATGGATAGTTATATTATGATTTTGAATCATTTTTAAAACCTTATTTTCAAAATTTACCTAGTATTCAAAAATATCAACATTTTTGATTTAAAAGAAATGAACTAGGAAAAATATTTATTCAAAAAAAGGCGGAAGGAGAATTTCAATATTTTGATATTTTAAAAAACAAATATTTTAATATTTGGACTCCAATAGTTATATTTTCTTCTAAACCTTTATTATTAGCATGTCAAGAATATTTGTATAAAAATATTTGAAAATTTGTTGATGAACTATTTCAGAATATTATGTATCCTAAACCTATAGTTAAATAAATTATATTTTTTAAAATTTACGATTTTATAAGCTTTTATAGTACTATTCCAAAAACTCTATATAATAAAATCATTTGAAGTTTCAGAATCAAAGTAGTAAATAATTATTGCAATGATAATGTCAAAAAAAAAGTAATGAAAGGTTGAAATAAGGTGAAAGCGTGTACATATGATAAAATTGTATTAAATCTTAGATTATACTAGTTCAAGTCTAAATAACAAGTATATGAAATTTAAGATTGAACAGATAAAAATTGAAAAAAATAAATCAGGATGCTCAAAATATATTATTCATGAATTTACCAAGTAAATTTTCAGACTAGCTGATGATTAATTGTCTTTATCATTTTCTTAAATATAAGTATTCTAATTTTAGATTGATTAATCTTTTTCGGTAATAAAAATTTCAATCAAAATAAATCAATAATTTATTATACTTGCATAACTTAAAAAATCAAATTTGTATAATTAAATATGTTTAGTTTATGTTTATCAAAAAAAAATTTTTTTTGACAGGAGGTTCCAAAAATACAGTTCTTAGTAAAAAGAATGGTAAAAACATATTTTGACAATATGTACAAACTTTATTTTAATGTATATTTTTTTATTATTTATAAAAACAATACTAACAACAACTTTTATATTATTAATTAATATTTGGTGTGTTCTCCTTCTGCATTAATACATGCTTTAACCTGGCTTAGCATACTCTTGATGCACTGAAGTAACATAGCATCATTAAGATCATCCTATTTCTGCTAGGTTGTATTAAGGAATATATCGCAGGTAATGTTTTTTTTTTACTACTAAATACTTGATCTTTTTCTCCATTTTTTCCTTTAATACAGTTCATATATTTTTAATAGGATTCAGTCTGAACTGTATGAA